TGAGCTCAGTTCTTATACTAACAGCAAATGCCCAGGGGTATTCTAGCTTTTCCAGGTTGAAGACATTAAACCAGGAGGTTTGCAGTGAAGCCAAATTTTCTACATCTTTTGTTTGCCCTAATGATACTACCTGAATAATGCTGGAGCTGAGTCATTTCTGCTAACTCTAAAGTTGCCTCATTATTATTGCTTGGAAATAGCCAATCAGCTATAAGTGATAGCATATAAATCAAAAACTTCAGCAGGAAACTTCTTACAATCATAGAAATTGCTCATACAGAACATATTCCTGGTCTTCCTCTGGTCCACACAAAGCGTCTTACTTCATGTCAAAGAACAGAACCTCCAGTGTGCTTTATTGGAACCCACAGCTTCTTGGAGCTTTATGCTGACCAGTGACAACATGAGTCAGTTCAAGTTTTAGTGTGGATGACTGTAAGTTAGTAGCTACGGAAGCCTCTCCACTGCCACACTAAGCAACGACACAAGGTGGTGTGTATACACGTTTACAAAGAAACTTCAGGTAAGCAGAATTATTTTGGACAGCCAAAGTCTTTTTTCTAAGCCTTTCAATTAATCAGAATCCTGGTTCTAAATAATTAGTATTTTGTTAATTGACTCCCCCCTGCCCCCCGCCACATGCAAATCCTTGGAAGGAGCGCTCACAAGTCCCAATGTTGAGAACCAAATCCTGAAAATATTGTAGGTCTCTGAACCTGGAAAATACCTTAAGAAAATCTGCCATGCTAGTGTTGCGTTATTTTGAACAGGTAAGCCGTAGAAATGCTTTCCTTGAACCATAAATTACTGATACATGTGCCTGTCCCTGCACCCTCCAGACATCCACAAAAATACCATGCTAACAACAAGAATCAGCATTCTCCTGGCCTCTAACCCATCTTCTAAAGTGTTACTTGTCCATTTGAATAGAAAAACCTTTGAGGGCTGTGCCAGATGGCTAAGATGAAGTCTTCCTCTTTCCTGTTGCTTTCTGTCAAATTTCTCTCCATTCATGGATGCATTTAACATCTGACTTTTCTCTCATCAAACTCCTGCCACATCATGGTGATGCCTATCATACATGATACTCCTAGTCCCTTACTGGCTCCTACTCAATTGACTTGAAGTTGAAGCCAACAGCCATATATCCAGAACTAATCTACCTCTGAAATCCTAACCTCTGACAGCCTAATTTCTGACTCTGCTCTCATGTAGTCTGCATACATTTTCCCTGTCACCATTGCTATTCTTTGACCTTATAAAGTGTGCTCTCTCCATCTTGTCCCACTTGATTGGTCTCTATCCTACCTTCTTTCCTTCCTTCTCTCTTCTAAATCCTACAATTTAAATTTATTTCCTTGTTCTCAAATATTTCGCCTCCTTTATTTATTTATTTATTTATTTATTTATTTATTTTCTGCTCTAGCCTGGTTCATTTCAATTTGTTTTCTCTGCTTCTACTCTCTGGGTGGTGAGCTCATAAGTGTGGATGAATATCACTCCCAAATAGTGGTTTTCCCTCTGCACCTAGTCCAAAGCAATGCCTGGAGATCCCTGTATGTATTCATTGTCTGTGCTTTCTCCTGCTAACATCAGATGCCATTCAATCCCTAATCATTTCCCATAAAAACTTACTATTTTTTCTCTATGCTTTCCTGGCACACTCTCCCACCTTACTCACTTCCAAAGAAAGACTTGTCATTCTATTTCTTCCAGAAGATGGACAAAGATAACTTGTCACCTTCCTGCTCTTTTGTCTCGCCCCAAGTACATGCATACACATGCATGTGCATACGCCTGAACTAAAAGCTTTCTCTTCCACCTCAGTGGAAGAGGTATTCTTCCCACCCAAAACTAATCCCAACACCTACTCTTAGAGATAAGGTTACAAATTAGATGAACTAATAAACACAAAGGATTTGGAACAGTGCCTGGTCAGTGGATTTAGCTATTTTTCTTTCCTCTTTCCACCTCTTGTTTTATCCATGGGCCTATCCAGTTACTCTCCATCATACCTGGATTTCTGTAGTTAGCATAAATATGCTTACCACTCTCATCTAATAAGAAATGTCTTCCTTTGAGCTCCCACAGTCTCCTTCCTCCCTCTATACTCCTGTGTTCTTCTCCTTCCTTTTGTGGCCAAGCTCTTTAAAGACTTATCTTCACTTCCTCATGGTTCATTTAGTCTCTAATTCTCTTCACCTGATTTCTTCTCCATCATTTCCTGGTCTATCTCTCTCCAGATCAGTAATCAATTCCCAACTCCATATTGCAGTGGCATTTTTAGTACTCATCTCTTAGTTTCCCAGCAGCATTTGACTCTTCTAATCACTCCCACCTTTAAATAAATTTTCTCCTATTTTGACTTCTGAGATGCCGCTCATCTTATTTTTCACACTCTTCTTTGGCCACTTTCCCCCAATATCCTCTGTTGGAACCTTCCTAATTTCATTAAACATCTATGTTCTTCTACATATTTTTATGGATGATCATAACAGAGTGTCTATTGGATTAGGTTAAGTCAGAAGGATTTTATCACCTGGAGGCCCCAGAGTGAATTGGAAGTAGATGTCTCCAACTGGTGGGAGCCAAGCAAGGGTCTTGCCCTGAAGGGCACTTGGCTGTAACATGGCACAGAAATGGGAGAGCATGTGCTGTGAATGATGGGATGTGGCAGCAGGGAACAGAAGTTATGCACAACTATTCTCCCATCCCTTCTTAATGCATCCCCCTACATCTTATATATCTGACATAAGGTACTAAAACCAACTCATCATTGAACATTTTCTTCTTTATTTGAAAGCTTCCATTAGCAGCCACATTGTCTTCAGAGCTGGAGTTGAAAGCTTGGAGAGTGAAGAAAATTGTTGCTCAGTCTTCCCCAAAAAATATCCCAAGAGTCCCCTCTCTATGCCTCACTGATTCCATTCATTCACTGAACAAAAAGTTCATTGGTGGCTATACTATGCCAAGTGCTGTGTTTGATGCTTGAACTGTAAGGAAGAATAAGAGATGGTCCTACTTTCCAAGGAGATTACACTCTTCTGGGGAAATTTGCTACAAAAGGCCTGAAGAATGAGCAGAATAATCTGCCATTTGGTTAGTATGTCCATTGTCCTAGACAGGGCCAGAAATATACTGGCTTGTTCTAGAGCTGTGATTTGCCTCAAGATGTCTTTTGTTTTGTTTTTGTGCTAACAGATTTACTTAGACAACTTATATTTAGTGCCATATTTGAAGCTTTGTTTGGTTATGCTCCTGTCCAATAGAATGGTCCCCTTGATTGGGTTGGCAGGTCTTCACAATTTCCCTCAGAAGCACATGTGTACACCATCCAACAGAACACTAAGCCCTTCATATACATATACATTTCACGATGTCATCCTTAGGACAACCCACAAAGTAGGTATGATTATCCCCATTTTATAGATGAAGAAAGTAAATCTCAGAGAGTTTCAAGCAAAGTAATCTACCTAAAGTGACCCAGCTAGTAAGTAGAAGAGCCAAGGTTTGGGTCCTGGTCTGTTTGACTCCAAAGACCATGTTCTTAATCGCTGTACTTCCTTTTGGTTTGATTTTGGCTACCTACACCAATACCATATGACAGGTGCTAGATTTTCCAGGATAGTTATGATTTAAAAAAAAAATGATGGCTCCTCTATCAGCCATCAAAATTTCTCTGAGTTTCTTGTTTTTGTTAGTTTTTAGAAAATATGGTTACTCTTATAAATGTCTTTAAGTATCATATATACTTCAATCGGGTATATGTAATATAAATATATATACATATTCATGGGTATAAGAATGGAAAAAAATTCCTATGTGTATCTTATTTATATACTACTTTATTTCAGAAAGACTTCGAGGTGAATATACACACACATACACATACATGGCTAACCATTTTACCTATCCATCTTTATATTACCCACATGGTATTATATTAGATATTTTCCTGACTTTCTAACACAGACTTTTTCCTCTGTCATTAAACACACTTTGTAGACATTACTTTCATGTCTGTCCAGTGATCCATAATTTAGATATGCCATTGTTAACTTAAGCATTCCTCTATAATGGATTTGGATCATTTCTATTTTTTAAAGTTTTACTTATTTAAGTAATCTCTACACCCAACATGGGGTATGAACTCATGATTCCGAGATCAACAGTCACATGTTTTTCTGAGACAGAAAACACCCCATTTTGGGATAATTTCTAAATTTATAGTATCATAATACTGCAGTGAATTTCCTTATATTTACATATCTATAGATATCTATTATCGCTTCCTTGGGATGAGTTTCTAAAAGCAGAATTGTTGAATAAAAGGGTTTGCTCTATTTTTAAGATTGCTAGGGTATAATTCAAGTTTCTAGATTTTGCCAGTTTATACTTGGGTAATTTCATTCCTGATCAACAATTTTTTCCTTCCTATGATTTTGTTCCGTAGGAAAAAGTGACTATACTCAATATAGTCTCTAGGACCTTTCCCGGAAGATTGCATTCTTTCATGATGTCTGAAAATACTACTGATCCTATGACAACATTTGCACAAGTGTTTCAATGCCCAGGAATCTCAGGGTCCCTTGAGATAGTTTTTCTGAAAAGATTCATTGTTCTTCATTTGTATCTGGACAGCTGAAGACATTTGCTCCTCAGATTCTTGGCCTGATTTGAATCAAATCAAATAAAATCAAATCTCTCTCAAATCATATTTGTTTCACCAAATATGTTATGGTACTTTCCATGGAATTGTAGAAAGATCACCAATGAACCCTGAGTCTAGCTGCAGTTCCAGGCTTTAGTTTCTCACTTGCAAAATGAAAGGTTTGGACTTGAAAATTTCTAAAGCCCTTTATTTTTGGCAGTGTATGATGTCCTAGGTGATTTTTCCTTTCTCCTCTTGCTGGACACCTGTCTCATCTTTCCAGGTATTTTTGTTTGTATGTTTCCTTAGGTCATCTTCCTGGGAGAAGGAGGCTCAGGTGCTATACAATATGTTTGTGCTTCATGAATCCCAGAAGCTGCATATTCTGTATGAATCCCTGGAAAAGAGCATCCCTGAGTCCTTGAAGGTGAGAGAGTAGGAAGAAATCTGGAAGAGAGGGGTAAAGTGTGGGAATATAGGTTCAGGGCTCAGAACCTTCCAGGCAGATGGAAATACAAGTCTAAAGTCAGACTCCTTTGGCAAGGATGATCTTAATACCCATATCCAGACACCTACTTTACTCCTCCTTCTCCTCTTTTATACATTGTTTGAATCCATTCTACTGCTATCTCTAGTGGAATTCCTTATCTGCTCCAGGCTATTACAATATCTGCCTTTCTACAATATTACTAGCTTACCTACACTTGGTAACCGGAGTCATCTATCTGACCCAAATATGATCATACCACTCCCTTGTTTTAAACTTTCAGTAGTGGTCCATGTCCAAGGCACAAAAGTCCACACTCCTTAATTCTGAGGTTTATCATAAAATGTCCCAGCCTCTTCCGCTTAATCTCCCAACATGTCTCTTCCATATACCACATGCTACAATCACCGAGCCCTCAAAGCTCATCAGGGATGATATAATCTGCCACAACTTCAAGCACTCATGCATGCTTTTTCTCTCACCTGGAATTACTTGCCTTTCTTCTCTGCTTTGCCAGGAAAATATTTTACTTATCTCTGAAGACCGAATTCAAATATTACCTTATGTGTAAGTTTCCTACCACTCCTAGAGAGGTAGTGACTTTCTTCTCTGAGATCCCACACAACCATATGCATGCATCTATCAGAATATGTGTCTTATTATGATCAAACTATATACTTCCCCATCCTTGTAAACTTGAAGGCAGTGGCCATATCATACTCACCTTTGGATTTTCCACACTTGACACAAATCTGACACATAATATGTGCCAAAAATGGTATAGTATGAAATGAAAAAGATGGTATGAATTAAAAAAAATTTTTTTTTCAACGTTTATTTATTTTTGGGACAGAGAGAGACAGAGCATGAACGGGGGAGGGGCAGAGAGAGAGGGAGACACAGAATCGGAAACAGGCTCCAGGCTCTGAGCCATCAGCCCAGAGCCCGACGTGGGGCTCGAACTCACAGACCGCGAGATCGTGACCTGGCTGAAGTCGGACGCTTAACCGACTGCGCCACCCAGACGCCCCTGAATTTTAAAAAAATGAATGAAAAAATGTCAGACGAACCATTTCCTAATGATTCACTGATTAACTTAGATTTTTGTGGACCTTTCCTGGGCTTTTTTGCAGCATACTTCCTGATGGATAGTTCAGTGAGCCATCCCGAAAGCACTGGATTGATCTTGTCAAGTTCTCCTGTCTCCTGGCTTTATTGCCCATACCACCTACAAGACCCTACCTCAGAGAAAAACTTCATCTCCTCCTGTTTTGATCTGTTGCTCTTGTAGGTATATGGTGCCGTTTTCAACATTAAAAATAAAAATCCATTCAACATGGAGGTGCTGGTGGATGCCTGGCCAGATTATCAGATAGTCATTACTCGGCCTCAGCGAGAGGTGAGAGCATTAGTTACTGAATGCCAAGCCAGTATTGTTCAGGATGTTCTCTGTGTGTAAATGAGGGGACTGAAGCTGAGAACCTTGGCATCCCCGATACATATAGATTTTGGAATGGCTGCTTGGATGGGAGAGGGGGCAGTGAAATAAGGCATGGGTGTAAACCAAATGGCCAGTGATGCAGGGCTTATTAATAACATTGGGATCCCATTTGGTCAATTATTATATTATATTATATTATATTATATTATATTATATTATATTATATTATTTAGAGTGAGTGAGCACATGGGAGAAGGGCAGAGGGAGAGAGAGAGACAGAGAGACAGAGAGAGGGAAGAGAGAGTTCTAAAGCAGGCTCCACACTCATAGAGGTGCCAGACTTGGGGCTCAGTCTTGCAAAGTGTGAGATCATGACTTGAGCTGAAATCAAGAGTTGGTCGCTCAACCAACTGAGCCATGCAGGTGCCCCTGGTCAATTCTTTTCCATTGAGATTCTAATCACAGGCATATACCTCAAGATGTTTGTGGCTGGAAATGGTTAGGAAATGTTTTGTTTTCCTTGGATCTGAATGAACATAATCCAATAACATTTGAATCAGTACTGGGTTTGAGATCTAAATCTGTCAAGTTGTGTGAGCGTGGAAAGACTGCTGCTTTCTTCACTATAAAAAGTGAAGTTGACAGAAATTACTATGTCAGAGTATTGTTAAACTACAGATACATCATGTACAGTTGACCCTTGAACAATGCAGATGTTAGGGGCGCCAGCCCCCACTCAGTCAAAAATCTGCATATATTTCTTGACTTCCTCTAAAACTTAACTACTAATAGACTACTGTTGACTAGAAGACTTTATGATAGCATAGTCTATTAACACATATTTCGTATGTTACATGTATTATATACTGTATTGTTACAACAAAGTAAGCTAGACAAAAGAAAATGTCCTTAAAATCATAAGGAAAATACACTTATCGAATTAAAAAAAAAATTGCAGTTCAAACCTGTGTTGTAGAGCCAACTGTCTATTTAATAAAAATGTCTTTCCCATCTTTCAGATTTGGGGAGTATAAGTATTGAATCCCTTCCATCCCAGAGTTAAAATATCCCAGATAGGGGCGCCTGGGTGGCTCAGTCGGTTAAGCATCCAACTTCGGCTCAGGTCGTGATCTCGCAGTCTGTGAATTCGAGCCCCGTGTGGGGCTCTGTGCTGACAGCTTGGAGCCTGGAGCCTGCTTCAGATTCTGTGTCTCCCTCTCTCTGACCCTCCCCCGTTCATGCTCTGTCTTTCTGTGTCTCAAAAATAAACATTAAAAAAAATTTTAGCGGCGCCTGGGGGGCTCAGTCAGTTGGGCATCCAACTTCAGCTCAGGTCATGATCTCACAGTTCATGGGTTCAAGCCCTGTGTCAGGCTCTGTGCTGACAGCTCAGAGCCTGGAGCCTGTTTCAGATTCTGTGTCTCCCTCTCTCTCTGCCTCTGCCCCGCTCAAGTTCTATCACTGTCTCTCTCAAAAAAAATTTTTTTTAAAAATTTAAAAATTAAAAAAAAATATCCCAGATATTTTAACCACTCCTCCCACACTTCTCCATTTACATAGTTATCAGGAGAATTAGAACCCAACCTTACCTGTAAAAACCCCCAGGGGAGTATCTGCTGCAGAAGGTGAGCAAGAATGCAGGGCAGTGAGAGACTGGGCTCTCCCCTCCAGGTGTCGCTGTGAACCCGCTGTGATGGCTCTTTCTAAAAGTCCTCTCTGTTCACTTGCACAGCAAGGGCCAGTCACCATGCTAGCACCAGAGTGCTGAGTCAGAATTAGCCTAGGCATGGCTTTCTCACAGACCCACAGTCTTGACTCCAACCCTGTTCCCATTATTTCTCCCTATAAGGTAGACACTCTCTCTTTTAGACCCTTAACACACCCTGCTGGTGCACCTCCCATCCCAGGCAAGAAAAGTCCTTAAGCACCGTCCCAAGAGCAGATGCCTTCAGGGTACCATCCAAAAGCGACCAGCATAAATCTGTGAATAGTGATTTATTTCTCAAGGGATTCCAAGGCCATTTTCTGCCCACACCTCTGGGAAAAACAGAGGGTATCAAACAACGGAGTCTGCAGCGCTCCAGGCATATGCAAGAGCATTTTGTAAATTGTACTGCTGTGTAAATAAGGTTGACCGTTTGTTGTATCAGGAGATGAAGGATGACCTGGATCATTATACTAACACTTACCAAATCTTCACCAAAGCTACTGACAAGTTAGAGGAAGTCCTGGCACAGCCCCAGCTTATCAATTGGGACCAAGTCTTCCAGATCCAAGGTAACTGATCTGAGTTAAGAAGCAAAGACCTCTGGTTCATTCACAGCAGATGTGGAAGGGGGCAGACAGTGGCTGTCTTTCTCTTCTCTCCAGGTTGCCAAGAGAGCTTTCAAGAGGCAATAAGAAAGATTTCGGCTTCAAAATCAGTGCGGGTGGATTACGTGAAGACGATACTCATTATGACAGAAATGCCGGTGGAACCCAATGATGACCAGGTGGATGTGATGGAGTCATTTAAAATGCCCAAAGTGGATGACGATACCAAGTGAGATTTTGCCTTTTGCTTCCCAAATTCCTGATAAGAAATCATTGAGTTGTCGTAAGGGCCAGACTTGGAAAAGCAAGATTTGAGACTAAATTATGGGGTACACAGTTGTAGGGGTAAAGGGAGGGAACTATATTAGCTGAGGTTTGCTGAGCATGGGCAGGGTCTTCATTAGATGAGGTTATTTCCATATATATATTTAACTCACTTGGAGCCTTCCTGGGAGGGTACAGGACATCATGGTGACATAGAGAATCTTTACTGAGATTATTTTCAATTTCTTGCAAAAATACTACATGCTAGGGGTGCCTGGATGGCTCAGTCAGTTAGGCATCAGACTTTGGTTCAGGTTCATGGGTTCAAGCCCAGTGTTGGGCTGTGTGCTGACAGCTTGGAGCCTGGAGCCTGCTTCAGATTCTGTGTCTCCCTTTCTCTGCCCCTCCCCCGCTTGTGCTCTGTCTCTCTGTCTCTGTCTCTCTCCCTCTCTCAAAAATAATAAACATTAAAAACATACTGCATGCTATACCAAGTATACAAGCATTCAAAGTAAAAAGCGAAAGTTTGCCCACTTAGATTCTCCGCAATCTTTCTTTCAGGTGTAAATTTTTTCTTTAAGTTTATTTATTTATTTTGAGAGAGTGAGCAAGAACAGGGGATGGGCAGAGAGAGAGGTAAAGAGAGAGAATTCCAAGCAGGCTCTGCAGTGTCAGTGCAGAGCCCAACATGGGACTTGAACTCATGAACTATGAGATCATGACCTGAGCCGAAGTCAGATGCTTAACTGACTGAGCCACCCAGGCGCCCCCAAGTGTAAATATTCTTTTTTTTTTTCAACGTTTTTTTTAATTTATTTTTTTGGGGACAGAGAGAGACAGAGCATGAACGGAGGAGGGGCAGAGAGAGAGGGAGACACAGAATCGGAAACAGGCTCCAGGCTCTGAGCCATCAGCCCAGAGCCTGACGCGGGGCTCGAACTCACGGACCGCGAGATCGTGACCTGGCTGAAGTCGGACGCTTAACCGACTGCACCACCCAGGTGCCCCAAGTGTAAATATTCTTAATATTAGTGTGTATGCTTTTAGTACTTTGTGTGTATGAATTGGTTTTGTTGTTTTCCTTTTTCTTTTGTTTTTACAACATAGGAAATTATTGTACTGCAACCTTTCTCATTCAATATGTTATATAAACCTTTCAGGTAAGCTCATGTGGGTATCTTCATGTATTTTGGCAGCTGCATAGATTTCCATAAGAGGGAGATGCACAATTATGTATTCCCATATTAACACACTTTTGATTTATCTCCAGTTCTTCCTAATAACAAAAATTCTACAAGAAATGTCTTCGTAAACAGATCATTGCACAAGTTTTATAAATATTTCTGAAACATAAATCCTGGAGTTGGAATTGTTGGGTAACATAATATGTATATTAAATGGAAGATATTCTCAAATTGGATTTTAAGACTTTGATACATTTATTTAAAAATTTTTTTAATGTTTATTCATTTTGAGAGCCAGGGAGAGTGTGAGCAGGGGAGGGGCAGAGAGAGAGAGGGAGACAGAATCCGAAGCAGGCTCCAGGCTCTGAGCTGTCAGCACAGAGCCCAATGCAGGGCTTGAACTCATGAACCTGAGAGGTGATGACCTGAGCTGAAATCGGATGCTTAACTGACTGAGCCATGCAGGTGCCCCAAGACTTTGATAAAATCAATATGTGATAGCATAACGTAGAAACAACCAAAGTGTCCATCAATAGGAATGCAGGTCAATTCCTTATGGTATAATCCAGACAAAGGAATAATATGCAGCCATTAACAAGAAGGAATCAGCTCTATAGGAACTAATATGGAAAGAATTCCAAAATATAATGCTAAGTAAAAAACACAACAAATAAAATAGAATAATATATACAGTATGCTATCATAGTATGTAAACATCTTAAATTGCATCAAACACCTCTGGAAGGTTACATAAATATATTGCATTCCTGGTAGACTTTAGAGAAGGTAACTGGATAATAGGAGATCAAAGAAAAAAGAAAGAATTATTTTTCATTAATATCCATTTATGCTCTATAATTATATTGCTAATTCAAAAAATAAAATAAAATAAAAACATATGCTCACACATGCAACTAATTTAGCCAGGAGAGCCAACAATATTCAAATCTTGCTGTGGCCCAGCTGTGTTCCCATGAGAATCTTAGAAGAAACGTATGCATACGGAAAAGTGGTAAATGGGGATTCAATAATACTATAACTCTGAAAATCTGGAATGGAGTACCTGCCCTAAGGTGATCTTTCTTTCCTCTAAACCCAAATGCATATCTTGATATCTTGCCAGCCTCAGTTTGGCTCTGCCACAAGACAAGGTCAGGTGAGATGCTTGAGATCTCTGAAGAAGCAGGGCCAGGAAAGGTCAGGCAGGCAGAGAGAAAAGAAGGCCCCACCCATGTGTGGACAATTTAGTGTGCAGCAACCCCACTTACTGGCAGACATAAAGTGACCTTAAAACTGATGAATTCCTGAAAACTCTTTCTCCCGGGGGCAGATAGTTGAAACTTCTTTGGGCTCTTCCATCTGTCCCAACCTCCCCTACCCACAGAGGATGTGATTCTGATTTTGCAGATGAGAAGACTCAGTCTCAGATAACTTGTCCAGTGAGAGAATCAGGATGAAATCCTATTGTTATCACCAAAAAATCTGATATTCTTTTCCTGTATTGGTGCTTGTTAAATTTCATTTTTGGTACTTTCCTAGAGGTATGTGGTGATGGGCTTTGGGACACATGAAGCTTAAGATCAACATGGCTCTCATCTTCCGGTGATACACGTTTTTTGGAAATATCTGTTGAAAGAAGTATTACCTTGTGTCTTTAGATATTTTGTGGGAGAGAATTCAAACTACATATTTCACACATGCATCTTCGAACAAAATTGAGGACTGCTCTGGTGTATCTATAGCCTTCCTCTTTTAAGACATATGCTTATCTTCTTCCTTGGGATAAATGGTTAGACTTTTCTGAGATGTACTGTACTATATGATGCTAACTCTCTGTTATGAAATGTATCATTAAGTACATAGGGTGATAGCCCTCTTAATTATTTGGGAACATGTTCAAGGGGACAAAGAATTAGTTTTTTGTCCACCTGTTCCCTCTTCTAGGCTGTGGGATCCTCAAGGAAAGGATTGGTGTCATATTCATTTTCTACAATCCTGGTGTTTTGTAAATGTTGGCTGAATAAATGCACATTTTTTTTTCTTGACAGGAAAGGAAGCTTTCAGAACATTTCCTTGGATCCCTCCCATGCAGGGCTTGTGAATGAACAGTGGACATTTGGGAAAAATGATAGGAGCTTGAAATATATTGAACGCTGCCTCCAGAATTTTCCAGGATTCGGTGTGCTGGGTCCAGAGGGGCGCCTTATCTCTTGGATTGTGATGGAACAGTCCTGTGAGATGAGAATGGGCTACACTGTCCCCAAATACCAAAAGCACGGCTATATGAAGAAAACCAGTGTTCACCTTATGAATTATGTTATTCAGAAAAAAGTGCCATGTTATTTTCATGTGTCAGAACATAAAGAAGAATCCAATCAGGCACTGAGGGATCTGAAGTTTAAGGCTGCTTCTTGTGGTTGGCATCAGTGGAAATGCAGTCCTGAGAAATATTGTTGATTAGTGCCATTTTCTATTGCAAGCCTTCCTCATCAGTGGAAAAAAGTATCAGTTCACATACAATCATGATAATTTGTATTAGCACAAAAACATCCAATTATTTTGGTTCCGTGCATTACTTAACCCATGCTTGTACAACATTTTTGTCTTCCTCCACATTACAGAGAACTAGAAGCTTGAACTTTCGGTGTTAGGTTTTTCCTTTATGGTGACAGACATTTCAGAATTAAAATCATCCAATGTCAATCATTAGTGCCAAGATAACCCTTTCAGAGCAACATTTTCCTCTTTGAAGTCTTCTTTCATGAAAGTCTACTACTTTTTCATGCTTCTATGTTTAAGAATAAAAAGACTGTTTTGAGAAGTGTCTCCTCTGGTATTCTCTCCTTCCTCTGACAAAATTTTCCAAAGGACCCTTGAAAAGCCCTCAGCTTTTGATCCTGCATGCCCTCTCAAGAGTTTTGAGATATTTTACTGAATTAAATTATGTAGCCATCAGTGAACATTTGGTTTTTTTTTTTTTTTCAACGTTTATTTATTTTTGGGACAGAGAGAGACAGAGTATGAACGGGGGAGGGGCAGAGAGAGAGGGAGACACAGAATCGGAAACAGGCTCCAGGCTCTGAGCCATCAGCCCAGAGCCTGACGCGGGGCTCGAACTCATGGACCGCGAGATCGTGACCTGGCTGAAGTCGGACGCTTAACCGACTGCGCCACCCAGGCGCCCCGAACATTTGGTTTTCTGATTGGCTTTTAATCACAGGGGCTGGGTAGGTTGACTTGTGTGTCTTAACTTCATATTTTCAATACGACTTTTCTGTCCTGTATTGGTTTCCTATTGTTGTTGGGAAATCGAAGTGTCAGCAAGGTCAGTACCTTCTGGAGTTTGGAGGGGAGAATCCATTTTCTGGTCTTTTCCAGCTTGAATAAGCTGCCCTCATGCCTTGGCTGTGGTCCGGCATCCCTTTGCTCCCACTATTTCTGTTTTCCCCCTGTACCCTTCATCTCTTTCCATGTCCCTCTCACAGGGACACTTGTCAGTAAACTCAGAACCCACTTGGGTAAGTCAGGATAGTCTTCCCATCTTAAGATCTTTATTTGATCACATCAGCAAAGTCCTTATTACAATATAATTTAACATTTGAAGCTTCTAGGCATTAGGAGCTGCTATCATTGGGGGTCATTATCCAGTCTACCATATATGAGTGTCAGGTTTATGTTACTCTATGAGCAAAGTCACCACATACGTTCAGAACTCATATGTTCTCAGTCAGAGACTGACTAGCATTTGTATATCTTAGGTCCATATTCATGGGAGAACTTACTCTAGTTTGAACCCTGTGTCTATCAAAAATTCTATCAACTATGACTTAGAGGTCAAGGCCATGTACAAACATTGATATGCAGGGCCCATTCATATAAGGGATTTGGGGACGAAGGCACCACAGATAATGTTTACTTAAATCTAAGTAAAAAAGAACCAACATCTTCATCTTGAAAATGCCCTTAGTGCTTGAAAATAGATGCCCACCCAGGTTGGTAAAAAATGATAGAGTCACACATTAACAATAGACAAAGGCCTTAACAGCCCTGTGACTCCATGAGCAGCATTCTCTGAGCAGAGATAGGCTTCCAGCCACCCTACCTATACACTAAGGTAACACCTTAGGAATTCTGATTCCTTCTGGACACCACTTTTCCTGCCCTAATTTACACTCCAGGACTGACTGGGTCCTTCCTTGTAATCGATCTCTGTGGCAGCCACAACTCATCTTGGCTGTAGAACAGAAAGTAGAAAGCTCTTATTCAAGACAGTGTCAAAGGAATCAGAGACACAATAAAATGAGGGAGAAAGGGCACATGCTAATAATAGCTTATATCTAGATCCTACTTAACAGGTTCCAGGCTGCATTCTACGTGCTTGGCACACTTTAACTCATTTGGCGCTCACAACTGCTCTGAGAGGCAGGCATGGTTACTGCAGAAGAGAAAAGCAGGGGGCGCCTGGGTGGCTCAGTTGGTTAAGTGTTCGCAGTTCACGTGATCAAGCCCCACGTTGGGCTCTGCACTGACAGCATGGAGCCTGCTTGGGATTCTCTCTCTCTCCCTCTCTCTCTCTCTGCCCCTCCCCCCCCTCTCAAAACTAAAAAAAAAATTTTTTTTAAAGCAGAAGAAGAGAAAACCACACTAGAGAGTGTTACATCTTTGTCTAAGGCCCAGGCCACCCAACTATAATAGCCAACTCAGGAACTGAATTGAGTTTGTGTGGCTCCCAAGCTGGTACTCTTAACCTCTGGGCTATCACCTATGACAAATGGCTAAGGCTTATAAACACTGACAAATAAGCTGACATATAGATTCCTGTCCGCTGTCTGTTTTCTTATCTGTAATTGGAAAGTATGCAGTGGCCTTAAATATAGTCACAATGTTAACCATCACCACTACCTACACCAAAATTTTTCATCATCTTCATCACGAGCTCTGGACCCATTAAACAATAACATCCCATTTCCTTGTCCCCCAGCTCCTGCTAAACTTTATTCTACTTTCAGTCTTTATTAATTTGCCTGTTCTAGATACCACATATAAGTGGAATTGTACAACATCTGTCCTTCCGTGTCTGGCTTATTGTACTTAACAATGCTCTCAAAGTCTATCCATTTTGTAGCATCCATCAAAACTTCATTCCTTTTATGGCTATATGATATTCCATTGTATGTATATACCACATTTTGTTTATCATTCATCTGTTGATGGTTATTTATTTGGGTTGTTTGCACCTTTTGGCCATTGTGACTCATGCTGCTATGAACATGGGTGTTACAAATTATCTGTTTGAATTCCTGCTTTCAGTTCTTTGGGGTATATAACAAATGGCTAAGACTTAATAAACACTGACAAATGAGCTGAGGTATGGGTTCATACTAGAAGTGAAACTGCTGGATCTTCAGTAGCTCTGTTTAACTTTTTTCCCCTAGTTTTTTTGAGATATAATTAACTCACAGTACCACATAAGTTTAGGGTGTGTAGAAAATGAATGGCTTACCTATATTGTGAAATGATTACCACAGTAAGTTTTATTAACATCCATCATCTCACAGAGATACAAAAAGAAAAAGGTAAAGAAAAGGATGTAATTTTTCTTGTGATGAGAAATTTTAGGGTTTACTATCTTAACAACTTTCTCCTATACCATACAGTGGTGTTAGCTATAGTTTTAGTGAAAATCTCTATCACAATTTATGTGATGGCCAAGCTCCAAAGCCCTTGCACACAGTGAAAATGACCCATTATTAAAAATCCCCTTGAATGGACAAACCCAGGGTTAAGGCATTTATAGAAAAGTTTCAGGAAATTCAACATTACTTGGAAATTAGAAAATAGTTAGAGGAAAAGATGTTGGGAAACAGGCAACCATGAGAGAAGAGATGATTCTCATGGAAAGAATGGAACGAGTTTGTTTCAAGAGATGGAAGGAAATCAGCTCCCAGAGCTGACATGGAAATAGCAGTATTGAGGAGAGTTCTAGTCAGACCAGTGGGTTTTAGACATATTTACAAGCCCTGGGCTAGTACTTTAAATCCCTTCTGTGTCTCAATTTTCTCAGATGTGAAATGGGAATCAGCCTCCCCCAGACATTGTTTGCTCAGCACAGTGCCTAGTACATAACAAGCACTCAATGCACTATTATTAGTGCAAATGTTTCAAGTTTTTTTTTAAAACAAATACCTGTTGCATGCCTACTATGTGCCAAGCAGTGTTTTAGGGTCTCTGGACATAAGAGTGGACACACTGCCTCCATGGACAGAGCCTTTTCTCTTTAATCTCCTCACATTCATTTTGTTTGAAATCCTGGCTCTGTGACCTAATGGACAAGGACAGGTCTGGATCCATAGATGTGGAGTGAGGGAGAAGTGACAGTTACTTCACACCTCCCCTGCTCTATTCTCCACATCATACAGGAGATGACAGATCATTTAAATTTCTACACCAACACCTACCACATCTTCATCAGGGCACCCTGGAAACTCCAGGAAATCCTGGATTCTCACAGGGTCGTCATCTGAAACAAGCTTCCAAATGCAGGGTAACCAGATGGATGGATGAAGAAGAGTCCTCCAGCTCCATCTTGGGGTTTTCTCAAATTGTGGATTGTGAGTGGATTGCCACCTGCCATAGACTGTAAAGGCTGACAGTGTGTGGAGCTTAATGTTGAGATATAACTACAACAAAAAAGTAGGACATGCATTTTAAAGTATGTATGTTGCTTATTAAATTGCACAGTAATTTGGCATAAACATTAATTTGTATACATGAAAATAGTGAGGATTATGTCAGTAGAGCAGACCAACCACTTGTGGGCCAAGGTTTCAGAAAGTGTATGCTGGGCGGGACACCTGGGTGGCTCAGTCAGTTAAGCATCCGACTCTTGGTTTCTGCTCAGGTCATGATCTCAGAGGTTTGTGGGTTCAAGCCCTGTATCAGGTCCACACTGACAGCACAGAACCTGCTTGGGATTCTCTCTCTCCTTCTCCCTCTCTCTACCCCTACACCACTTGCTCATTCTGTCTCTTTCTCTCAAAACAAATAAATAAAAACTTAAAAAAAAAAGTGTATGCTGGGAGATGGGAGAAGTTGAGGCCCCTCAAGAAGCCTCCTCCTCTTTCCTACTAGTTTTGTTTTACAAGCTGGCCAGAGGGACCTAATATTCAAAAGCACAAAATGACTGAGAGTATAGGGACTCCAGGAAGAAAATCAAAATGGATAGGTTTTGTGGGTTTGCTGTGTCTGATCATCTCTTTCTCTAATAACAGAAGCCAAATGAAACCAACAAACCAACAAAGCAACAAAATCTGCCCCAAAGAACATTGAAAGCCATAGTTAAAAGTGGCAGCTGGTGAGAAGAGAAGGAATGGGGGGAGAGGTGCAGGTGAGTCAATTAGTGAAATACAAACAGCTGGTCTGTATCTCAGTCTGCTGTAAGAGCGTGATGTATATAG